TTTGGATGTCAAATATGCACACTAAATAAAAAATAATAATTTTTGACAAAAAAATAAATGTAATTTTTAATAATCATACATACATAATTGCAGTATTGTTTGTATGGCACGTAAATTCCCTCTTGGACTCTTTGTCTAAAAAATAATTATTTTTCCAAAACTAATAACACCATGCATATTAATATAAATAATTAATTAGTTAAACGTGTAAAATTTACTTTTATTTTCGAAAAAAAAAAAAAGTCATACACAGTGAATTGGAGCTTAGGTCTTATCAATTAGTTTATAAAGGGTTCATTATTAAGATAGATATGAACAGACACATTACAAGTTGTACAAACATGAAATATTTCTAATCAATGAATTGTTGGCTGGACATAAACCAATATTCTTACATATAGTCTGGCTTTTTTGTCATAGTTATGTCAAACAACTGTGTCAACACTTCACACATATATGACGTTTCATTTTATTGTGGACAAATGACCTATACTTGATGCCTAAAAAGTATATTGAGTCTCAATCGTTTAATCACACAGATGTGAGGCAATAATGTATTAGTGAATTACAAGACTTCAAAAATCTACATCGTTATTGCTTCTAATTTTTTCGACGAGTCTATCCATTTCCTAAAAGTTTCTATATAAAGTGATGATGCCACCATCTCTTTTGTAAGAATGCGACTATCTTCCTCAAGAGTGAACTTTTCACAAAGAACGCTTAGCTTTTTGGTTTTTTTCTATTACAAATTTATCGACCCCTTCCTACAAAAAAAGAAAAGTGAAAAAGTAAATTTAAACTCAGATATATTATTTTATCATTCGAATTCAGAGTCTAAAATTCCGAAAGATACTGGACGGTCATATCCTAATTTACTCACATCTAATTGATTGATACCCTTCCAATGATTTATTTACTTACCTAGTAGTATAAATTGCACCGATATCAATTTTTTTAGGACATCTTTCTAAAATATCATTTTCTTAATCCTTCAATGTTATCATATGGGCAGTATCTTGAAAACACATCTTCATACAATCTAAACTAAAACTCACGATTATTGAATGATTTGTCAATATCTAAAAAAAAATATTATTATTATTAATTATAATAATTATTTATAAGGAAAAAAAGCCTGATAAAAAAAACGCGTAAATCATTCAATGATCACTGTCATTTTTTTTTTAAAATTCAAAACAATCATTTCTTGAGTTTTTTTCAGACGGCTTTTTTAAAAGTTATCACCAATTATATACTAAGATTAATATTCAATTTATAAAAATAAAAATTTATCCAAATGTCGAATAACTTTTCATCTGTTGAAAACATCACAAAACTAATTAACAACCTTATTGATTCAAACAAAGATGCTTTGCCTTTACAACATATTAGTAAACTTGTAAATGATTTAACAAAGTTGTTGAATGAAACAGACATTCACGATGTAGAAATTAAAATTGGAGGAAGTCAATATGATGTCAAAACTTTCAAGGCTCATTCTAACATCTTAAAAGCAAGGTCTTCATACTTTAAAGCAGCTTTATCAACTAATTGGGTTAAAAAGTCTGATGATGGTACTATTTTATTCGAGAAAGATAACATTTCTCCAAAAGTGTTTGAAGTTCTTTTAACGTGAGATTAATTAACTTAATATTGATTGGTTTAAAAGATAACAATATAAATTTTTTTTGAATGAAATATCTAAACATTTATTATTATCTTTTTTATTAAAAGGTATATTTATAATGGGATTATTAATATAAATAATTTGGATTTTTACGAAATAGTTGAACTTCTTGTGGCATCTGATGAACTAAATTTTAATGAACTACTTGACAGCTTACAAAAATACTTGATTGTAGAAATGCGATTTTTGATTCAACAGTGGCATTTAAACTATCTTTATCAAATTTCATCGAGATATCAATCATTTAGCATACTTAAGGATTACTTTGAAAAATTAATTAGATATCGTCCAAGATTATTCTTAGAATCTAATGATTTCAATGATATTGAAAAACCAATGTTTATATCTATATTAAAAAATGGTTGCTTAAATTTAAAGGAAATTTTTATTTGGGATTGTGTCATCAAATGGGGAATTGAACAAGTTAAAAATTCAAGAGAAGAAAAAATTATTTCAATGTGGAATGAAAATGATTACAAAGAGTTAAAAAATGTACTAGTAGATATTATTCCTTTAATTCAATTCCGGGATATCTCTAATGAAGATTTTTCTGATAAAATTGTACCATATCAAATGCTTTTTTCTAAAGTTTTATGGAAAACTCTTTTAGATTATTATTTGGCAGAACAAACATTAGATTTATTATCACCAAGGAATTTGAAAGTTGAATCAAAGACAATCAACCATAAGCTTATTTTGTTTTTTGCAAGTTTGATTGATAGGAAAAGTTCACCATACATATCATTTGGGGATGTCAAATATAAATTTAGGCTTCTATATAGTAGTAGTAGAGATGGTTTAGGAGGAAGGAGCTTTACTGGAAAATGTGGTTTCGAAGAAAAAACTCTTGTAGTTGCTAGAATACAAAATTCAGAGCAATTAGTTGGTGGTTACAACCCACTTGATTGGTGTGGATTGGGGCATAAGTTTACAACCGAAAGTTTTATATTTAATATAACTAATAGAAATGATATTATTAATACTGCACAATTTAGTTATGTTAGGAATCATGCAATTTTTTGTAATTTTTTTAGTTTACCCAAGTTTGGTAGGGATGTTTGTTTTAATACAGATGGTAGTATTCATAGTAGTCCAGAGGCTTATAATAATATCAATATAATCCATAATAGTAAATATGATGAATTAGAAGTTTTTCATATAATTAATAAATAAAAGATACATGTAAAATAATAAATATTATAATTTACTTTAATTCTTCAACAGATCATTTAAGGGTAGGGGGAATTATGTGTCAATTTATATGTAGATCTGCAACTCAAGAATCATTCATGTATATATGATGAGTAAAGAAATAATCATTTTGGGCCTAATATGCCCTGTCTTCCTGATGCACAAGTGGCATCATTGATTTTATTAATAATTTAACATCTTCATGTGTGGTCAGATTCATAAGATCAGGCCATGCATGCAGGAGCTGTTTCAATATACCAATATCATCATCACTCCATTTGTCCAAACAATGATATCCAACCCAAATGCAGATAGGCAATATTGTTCCCCATACTCTTTAAGTTGTGCCCTCTTTTTTGATCTTGTGTTTGAGCTTGGCAAGTTGTCAACATGGAGTGGTCATAATTCTGGTATTGGAGCATCCAGTTGGAAATATAAAGATAGGTATGGGTTGCGATTTTCCCCTGTGATCCTGCCTTTGAAGGCATGCTCTTTTGAGAGTTTACTTGTAGCCAAAGCAGTCCAATCATAATCATCATGAAGCTGATTCCAATTCTTGATTTGGATCTGAAAGTAAGACATTGAATCAAGTGATATAGTATTAGATCCATCCCAATCCAACAGAACTGGAAGTACCAAGTCAACTCCTGCTTGGTTATGCTTACATATAACAGCTGCAAAACAAATGAATAAACTCTTTAATTCTATCTGGGTTGGGGTGTAAATAAGTGGAATAAAATGTGTAAATGCAAGTAAACCATCTGCAAACTTTTGGTGGAGGCTTGAATATTATTGTTATAGTTATCCTGGCCAAAATGAGATGTCAAGAAATCCTTCACTCTAATTGGTTGTGAAACAAACTCTCTCATGTATCCCAAATTTTTCAAGTGTAATGATATTGATGATGATGATGATGATGATGATGATGATGATGATGATGATGATGATGATCCTCTACTTCCAGTAGCTTGGTCTCAAGCAATCATCAAAAGCAGATGGACAACCAATTCCCTACAATAACCAGGTTCCACATACCCAGTATGTATATAGTACATCCAGTAAAAAGTTGAGTAATTTTTTGAACACATTTTCATGTTGCATAAGTGATGCAGCAGCCTCAGCAACTATTGGTTCAGATGGGTATATTACCAATAGTTATGCACCACATTGGAACACTGGACTGGAATTTTCATATTCCAGTGATTCCAATGTTACTAACCCTTTTTGATAAAAATTTTTTTTTAAAAAAAAAAGTCAAGAAAGCTTTGCAGAAAACCAAATCATGTATTTTATGAATAAGGTTGTGGGCATGAAACCACAGAAAAACTATATATATTAAATCTTATCAAAAATCCTGTTGAAACTATGCCAAAATGGCAAAACCTCAAAATGTGAAACTCTGCTGAAACTCTAATAAACAATTAATGTGTAACCTGCCAAAACCCTGC